CGCCCTTGTCGCTAAGAGACAAGGGCACTGGATATGTTGCCGTCGAGTGGGGGGGGATCACCATATATGGTGTCTATTTCTCCCCCAACCGGAGTTTGAACGACTTCGAGGTTTTCCTAACCAGCTTGGAGACCTCGATACGGCGACTAGCGTCTGGGCACGTCCTTGTGCTGGGGGACTTCAACGCAAAGTCCACTGCGTGGGGTTCCCCCAGGACGGACGCCAGGGGCGAGGCCGTAGAGGAGTGGGCGGCCTCGGTGGGCCTCTGTCTTCTAAACAGAGGCTCCACCAACACGTGCGTGCGACAGCAGGGGGGGTCGATAGTGGACCTTTCGTTCGCTACCCCTGCCCTCGCCGCACGAGTAAGGAACTGGTGTGTCCTGGAAGAGGTTGAGACGCTCTCGGATCACCTGTATATCCGATTTGAGCTCTCCCGGACCCAGGACTCCAGTAGGGGTCACGTGGCGCGGCGTTTATCCCGCTTTCCGCGGTGGGCTGTTGCCAGGCTGAACCGGGACCTACTAGAGGAGGCAGCCATAATTCACTCGTGGCTGTCTCCTCAGGCTCCGACCGAGGAGGTCGACGTGGGGGCTGGCCGCTTTCGCGATGCGATTACGCATGTATGCGATGCGGCCATGCCCCGCGTTCGAGGTCGTCGGCCTCCAAGGAAGGAGGTCTACTGGTGGTCCCAGGAGCTGGCGGACCTCCGCGCGGCCTGTACAAGTGCCCGGAGGTCCTACACGCGCAGTCGGCGGCGTCACCGTGGAGACGGTGAGGAGGACCGGCTTCATGAGGAGTACCGACGGGCGCGGAAAACTCTGAAGCTGGCCATTAGCCGCGCCAAAGAAGAAAAAAGACAGGAGATGCTGGAGGGTCTTAATCGTGACCCCTGGGGTCGCCCTTACCGCGCGGTGCGACAAAAGCTCCGCGCGTCGGGCCCCCCCCTTACGGAGACTCTCCAGCCCAGCTTCCTGCGAGAAGTGGTTGAGGGCCTTTTCCCGCAACGAGCGGAACACACTCCCCCGGCGATGGCCTCCTTGGCCGGAGACGACGGGGAGCACGGGGAGGAAAATGTTCCGCCCGTCCGGGATTCGGAGGTAGGGGCGGCTGTTCTACGGATCCGTTCCAAGAACACCGCCCCTGGGCCAGACGGGGTACCGGCCCGAGTGCTGGCCCTGGCCCTCAACCACTTGGCAGACCGCCTCGGGGAGGTGTTCGACGCTAGCTTGGCGTCGGGACGCTTCCCTGAGTGCTGGAAGAGCGGGAAGCTGGTCCTATTGAGGAAGCCGGGACGGCCTGCCGATTCGGTCGCGGCCTATAGGCCCATCGTGCTGCTGGACGAGGCGGGCAAATTGTTTGAGAGGGTTCTTTCTGCCCGCATCGTCCGGCACCTCTGCGAGGTGGGCCCCGATCTGTCGGACGCCCAATTTGGTTTTCGGGCGGGGCGTTCGACAGTCGACGCTGTGTTGCGCCTGAGGGCCGTGACCGAAGAGGCCGTGAGCTGTGGCGGCGTGCTGTTGGCGGTGTCATTGGACATCGCCAACGCATTCAATAGTCTGCCATTCAGCTGCATCAGGGAAGCACTCCACTATCATGGGGTGCCAAAGTACCTGAGGCGGCTGGTGGCAGACTATTTAGAGGAGCGTACCGTCGTGTACGAGGACCGAGAAGGTAATTTGAGGAGTCGGCCCATGTCGTGCGGTGTTCCACAGGGGTCTGTTCTTGGACCCCTCTTGTGGAACATAGGGTACGACTGGGCCCTTCGCGCCGATTTCCCCCCCGGGCTGGGTGTAATCTGTTACGCAGACGATACCCTCGTGACAGCCCGGGGGGCAAACTTCCAAGAGGCGGCGCGCCTGGCCACAGGGGGAGTCTCCCTGGTGGTCGGGCGCATTGAGGCGCTGGGCTTACGGGTGGCCCTAGATAAGACGGAGGCCCTGTTATTTCATGGGCCCCGTCGTGGTCCACCCCCTGGCGCCTCAATCGTGGTCAACTCGGTCCTCGTACCGGTTCGGGCCCAGATGAAATATCTGGGCCTGATCCTCGACGGGAGGTGGCTCTTCGACGAGCACTTCCGACAGCTTGCTCCAAAGCTGGTCGGCGCTGCGTCTGCCCTAGGGCGACTTTTGCCCAATATGGGTGGACCCAGCGTCGCGACAAGACGGCTGTACACGGGGGTTGTCCGGTCAATGGCGCTGTACGGTGCACCGGTGTGGGCGGCGGCTCTGACCGCCCAGAATAGGGTACGCCTCTGGCGCCCTCAGAGGGTAATGGCGGTCAGAGCCATACGCGGTTACCGCACCGTTTCTACGGAGGTGGCATGCGCGTTGGCCGGAACTCCCCCGTGGGATTTGGAGGCGGAAGTGCTCGCCGAAGTTTATCGGCGAGTGGCTGACTACCGGGCGGAGAGCGGATTTCGCCCTCCGCCCGAGGATGTGCGCGAGTGGCGCGAAGCCGCTCGCCGAGCCACGATGGCTCGTTGGTCGTTCCGGCTGGAGACTCCACGCGCTGGCTTCGCCGCCGTGGAGGCTCTCCAGCCGGTCATCGCCGAGTGGGCAGGGCGGCAGCACGGGACCCTTTCCTTCCGACTGACGCAGGTGCTTTCCGGGCACGGTTGCTTCGGAAAGTACCTGCACACGGTCGCTAGGAGGGAACTGAGTCCCGCCTGCCACCAATGCGACTGCAGTGAGGACTCGGCCCAGCACACGCTGGCGGTCTGCCCCGCATGGGCGGCGCAGCGCTGGGCCCTCACTGCAGTCATCGGAGTGGATCTCTCGCTACCGGCCGTAGTACGCTCCATGGCCGGTAGCGACAGTTGTTTTACCGCGGTCGCAACCTTCTGCGAGGTAGTAATCTCGCGGAAGGAGGCGGCGGAGAGGGCCCGGGAGGACGACCTCCACTCGGACCCGATCCGCCGCCGGCGAACCGGGCGGCGGAGGCCCGCCTACCACAGCCTCATGCCGCCCTGAGTGTGGCCGCGGGTGGACGGGGTGGGTTTCCCCTTCACCCGCATTAGTTGGCCAGCCGCGAGGGGCGGCGTCCGCGTGTGCCGGACGTCGCCTAAAGAGAGGAAAATACATTGAGACGGAGCCCGCACCAGGAGCGGGCTGGCGCTAGGAGGGGTCCGGATGTCTTAACAACAGCTGTTCCCGGATCCCTCCTGTTACAGGCGCAGAGTGGCACACCGTGTGGTTTTAGTCGGTCCGAGTCCGACACACCACCCCGCCGCAAACCCCGGAGGGGTGACGGTCCGAGGGGATTTCCACACGTTAAAAAAAAAAAAAAAAAAAAAAAAGGGTTTGTTTCAAGTTTTCCTTCTCTCTGCAGCGCTGTTTATTCCCTCGCTGCCTTTAATATTATGTAGTTATTTATTTTTGAGATGAGTGATTAGGTGCACTAAAGTCAATAACAATAACAAGACTTAACTAAGAAATACAATCTGTGTTAAAATCATCTGAAAAGGCGTAAAACAAGTTGTTTGTTCAGTTGTGTTGAGCGCAAACAAGCGTGCACAACATGAATGATAGTGCGATCACCGCCCAATATAGTGTATTTGTGGTCACACTATTAAAGTGAGTCATGCAATTCAAGACTATCATTGTTAACCGTAAGTAGATACGTAACGTGACGTAACAGACTAACTGTTGCTCACCGGGTTTGTTGGCGTTCAACTTACTTATATGGAATTGGCAACTGACTGCAGCCGCACAAGGATATCTACAAATCAAGAGTCGCTGCCTTTTATTTTATGCAGGTTATTTATTTTTACTTTAATACTTTATGCAAAAGTAGCGCCTCAATTCTGATATTTTAATATTGTATCAATTGACTGTCGATGAAATGTCCTAGGAATAGTTTTGCGCTTTTCGTATTCTACTATGTAAGACCAATTGCCTCTCGATGACTGGTCACTGATACAAATGTCGTCGATGTCTTTATAATATTTTGGTAAACGGTACATTTTAAATTTGTAAGAAAATGATATATTTTATTTTCCAGGTATGGCAATGTTGTTGATATCACCATTGATGACCTATATTACTAAGTCGACAGTCTATTGACACTGAATTTATGTTAGTAGAATACCGATATTTTGACGGATGCCAATGGTGTCTCAATAGCATCTAGCCTGTCAATGGAATGACAGTGGCTTGGCGTTCACATAAAATAGCGGAATTGAGGCCCGGATTGTACAATGGCGGACTTAATGCCACAGGCATTTTCTACCAGTCTACCTTAGGGTGGTGCTGAAATGTGTGACTAGGTGCACTAGGGATTGATATAATGTAAAGTAAGAGAAAATTATTGAGAAGTTAGACAGAAACAATAAGATAAATATACATACGTACCAAATACATACACATACATAAATACTTACCTAGTTACTTTTAAGTACCTATATTCCAAGTAGACTTAGATAAATTGGTTAGGTTGGGCTTCGGTTAACTTACTTACTCGGCTTAAAGCTATGAAAAAATTGCTTAATAGCGGTTTACAGTGAGGCCGTGGTATCACTCCGATCGAGCCGGGCCGTTTTTGCGGAAGCTGGGCTTCCTGGGAATAAATATATCCTTTTGGCGATTGCTTCTTACTGGATGAATGTGGGTACTGTGTGTTGTCCTGTCATATACTTCTAAATACGTTTATGCAAGACTAGCTGACTCACGCAAGTCCCCAAAGGTTTATTTTTTTACGGTTTTAAACATTATTCATGAATGCTCGGCTCTAATTGGCCTTAGCGTGATGTTATATAACCTTATACCCTTCCTCGATAAATGTGTTATTCAAGAAGAAAATATTTTTTCAATTCGAAGCTGTAGTTTCTGATATAGCGCGTTTTACAAACAAAAAAACTGAAAGAAGTTCTGACTTTTCGGCTTAACCGACGATCTTTATCTAAGAAGGAGGCTACCTGCATATCACGTCAAAACCCGATCAAGCATTGTTGAAATACGTAAATAGTTTAATTTTCTTTGTTTCAGGCTAAAAATCGCACTGCGATGATCTTCCTAGCTGCATGCAACGCTGTTTCTTTGTTCGCAGCTACGAATCTGGTCGTCTCACTGAATCCATCAGACAAGTAAGTAAATGTAACACTTTTTCGTCTTGTTACTAAATAACCAACTTAAAACAAAAATCACCGACTTCAATATCTAATTATTTTATGTATTTTTGCCAATACCATGTTGAATTAAAAGAAACGGTATTCTTCATTCGTTAATTAGTTTTCCGCCCTTAGAAGTGGTATATTTTTCTTCAAATTTGAATGGGACCAAACGGGAATATACCACTTGAAATAAAAAAAAAAAAAAAAAAGGTTTAAAAATGACTGAGTTCTGACGAAACTAACTTAAAAACAAATGCAACAGAATTGAAAAGTTGTTCCTTTTTTAAGTTGGTTAAATTGAGCTACCTTCCCATTAACAGGAGAATTGGCTAATACACAAACAGTTACATCTCCCCTTGTCACCTGTAGACAATTCTGGGCAGGATTTGGATTTGTAAGAAATAGGTAATTGCAAATTATTGCTTGCGGTAAAGGGCATACCGGACCATCATCAACAGCCTCTAGTAGTCCACTGCTGTACATAATCTCAGAAAGGAGGTCGGGTTTGTTTCAACTTTTCCTTTTCCTTGCAGTGCTTAGTTTGCACCCCTAGTCGGCTCTTACGACACCCCAGTGATGGCACACCCCGTATTCTTAATCCGTCACCACACCGACCTTATTATAGGAGACATTAAAGTTGAAATCTAAATGACAGATGACGGTTGAAGTTGCCATATGAAAATTACGTCTTTTTCTTTTTTACGTGTTTTTTGTTTTTATGTGTTTATAGTATAATTATATCAATGCGTAAAGTTACATGCACTGTTTACGTTTACAATTAACAGTTAGAAGAGTACGGTTGGGTAAATACGACCTAAGCCTCACACCTTGACCTTGTACCACTGACGTTATGGCTCTTGACAAATGATGTCACTCAATTTAATTATCCTTAGTTATCACATCACATCAACAGCTTTTAATAATCGACTGCTGGATGTAGGCCTCTCCTTGGTAAGGAGGTTTTGGCCTGGTGGACAGCGTGGTGTAGTCAGCACGCTGTCCAAACTGGTTAGTATAGGGTTTGTGTCAAGTTTTCCTTCTGTTTGCAGTGCTGTTCTCCTGCGTAGTTTGCTCCCTCAGTCGGCTTTTATGGCTACGAGAATACCTTTTATATCATTTGTGAGATCGTGAGTAGATCGGAACTAAATTCGAATTTTCATTACGAGAATTGACCACCTGGTCAAAAAGTTAGGTAATTTCAACTGCTTAATACCGATAATGAGCGGTTATTTCCTATAAACATCCCCATAAATCATACACGTGGACGAATGACGATACGTGAACAATGCACGATAGTAAAAAGTTTTAGGTATATATGTAAATTAAACTATTTTCACAGCAACGTAAAAAACTTATCTTTATTCCAATTACGATTACCGTAACCATGTCTATGTCACTGTGTATCCAATACACTTTCAGTTAAGCCGATAGTAATGTATTATCACACTTATGAGCAAGGACAAGCCTTCACGTTCAATTTTCGACTCTATTCACGATGAAACAATGTAAATTTTGCAAATGAGCTATGTTATTGTAAATATTTAACGCAATTTAGGTAGAGTTTGAGTATGGCTGTGAATGAAAGTGAATAAGACAGAGAATGGGTTACGAAACAGTTTTGTATTCATCTTTAGTAATATATTGATTATCCGGGTGGTGACGGATTAAGAATACAGATTGTCACCACCCCTATTCATCCCGTGGGTGTCGTAAGAGCCGACTAAGGGAACAAACTACGCAGGACAACAGCACTGCAGAGAGAAGGAAAACTTGACACAAACCCTTTTTTTTTTTTTTTTTTTTTTTTTACGTGTGGAAATCCCCTCGGACCGTCACCCCTCCGGGGTTTGCGGCGGGGTGGTGTGTCGGACTCGGACCGACTAAAACCACACGGTGTGCCACTCTGCGCCTGTAACAGGAGGGATCCGGGAACAGCTGCTGTTAAGACATCCGGACCCCTCCTAGCGCCAGCCCGCTCCTGGTGCGGGCTCCGTCTCAATGTGGATGTTCCTCTCTTTAGGCGACGTCCGGCACACGCGGACGCCGCCCCCTCGCGGCTGGCCAACTAATGCGGGTGGAGGGGAAACCCACCCCGTCCACCCGCGGCCACACTCAGGGCGGCATGAGGCTGTGGTAGGCGGGCCTCCGCCGCCCGGTTCGCCGGCGGCGGATCGGGTCCGAGTGGAGGTCGTCCTCCCGGGCCCTCTCCGCCGCCTCCTTCCGCGAGATTACTACCTCGCAGAAGGTTGCGACCGCGGTAAAACAACTGTCGCTACCGGCCATGGAGCGTACTACGGCCGGTAGCGAGAGATCCACTCCGATGACTGCAGTGAGGGCCCGGCGCTGCGCCGCCCATGCGGGGCAGACCGCCAGCGTGTGCTGGGCCGAGTCCTCACTGCAGTCGCAGTGGTGGCAGGCGGGACTCAGTTCCCTCCCAGCGACCGTGTGCAGGTACTTTCCGAAGCAACCGTGCCCGGAAAGCACCTGCGTCAGTCGGAAGGAAAGGGTCCCGTGCTGCCGCCCTGCCCACTCGGCGATGACCGGCTGGAGAGCCTCCACGGCGGCGAAGCCAGCGCGTGGAGTCTCCAGCCGGAACGACCAACGAGCCATCGTGGCTCGGCGAGCGGCTTCGCGCCACTCGCGCACATCCTCGGGCGGAGGGCGAAATCCGCTCTCCGCCCGGGAGTCAGCCACTCGCCGATAAACTTCGGCGAGCACTTCCGCCTCCAAATCCCACGGGGGAGTTCCGGCCAACGCGCATGCCACCTCCGTAGAAACGGTGCGGTAACCGCGTATGGCTCTGACCGCCATTACCCTCTGAGGGCGCCAGAGGCGTACCCTATTCTGGGCGGTCAGAGCCGCCGCCCACACCGGTGCACCGTACAGTGCCATTGACCGGACAACCCCCGTGTACAGCCGTCTTGTCGCGACGCTGGGTCCACCCATATTGGGCAGAAGTCGCCCTAGGGCGGACGCAGCGCCGACCAGCTTTGGAGCAAGCTGTCGGAAGTGCTCGTCGAAGAGCCACCTCCCGTCGAGGATCAGGCCCAGATATTTCATCTGGGCCCGAACCGGTACGAGGACCGAGTTGACCACTATTGAGGCGCCAGGGGGTGGACCACGACGGGGCCCATGGAATAACAGGGCCTCCGTCTTATCTAGGGCCACCCGTAAGCCCAGCGCCTCAATGCGCCCGACCACCAGGGAGACTCCCCCTGTGGCCAGGCGCGCCGCCTCTTGGAAGTTTGCCCCCCGGGCTGTCACGAGGGTATCGTCTGCGTAACAGATTACACCCAGCCCGGGGGGGAAATCGGCGCGAAGGGCCCAGTCGTACCCTATGTTCCACAAGAGGGGTCCAAGAACAGACCCCTGTGGAACACCGCACGACATGGGCCGACACCTCAGATTACCTTCTCGGTCCTCGTACACGACGGTACGCTCCTCTAAATAGTCTGCCACCAGCCGCCTCAGGTACTTTGGCACCCCATGATAGTGGAGTGCTTCCCTGATGCAGCTGAATGGCAGACTATTGAATGCGTTGGCGATGTCTAATGACACCGCCAACAGCACGCCGCCACAGCTCACGGCCTCTTCGGTCACGGCCCTCAGGCGCAACACGGCGTCGACTGTCGAACGCCCCGCCCGAAAACCAAATTGGGCGTCCGACAGATCGGGGCCCACCTCGCAGAGGTGCCGGACGATGCGGGCAGAAAGAACCCTCTCAAACAATTTGCCCGCCTCGTCCAGCAGCACGATGGGCCTATAGGCCGCGACCGAATCGGCAGGCCGTCCCGGCTTCGTCAGTAGGACCAGCTTCCCGCTCTTCCAGCACTCAGGGAAGCGTCCCGACGCCAAGCTAGCGTCGAACACCTCCCCGAGGCGGTCTGCCATGTGGTTGAGGGCCAGGGCCAGCACTCGGGCCGGTACCCCGTCTGGCCCAGGGGCGGTGTTCTTGGAACGGATCCGTAGAACAGCCGCCCCCACCTCCGATTCCCGGACAGGCGGAACATTGTCCTCCCCGTGCTCCCCGTCATCTCCGGCCAGGGAGGCCATCGACGGGGGAGTGTGTTCCGCCCGTTGTGGGAAAAGGCCCTCAACCACTTCTCGCAGGAAGCTGGGCTGGAGAGTCTCCGTAAGGGGGGGGGCCCGACGCGCGGAGCTTTTGTCGCACCGCGCGGTAAGGGCGACCCCAGGGGTCACGATTAAGACCCTCCAGCATCTCCTGTCTTTTTTCCTCTTTGGCGCGGCTAATGACCAGCTTCAGAGTTTTCCGCGCCCGTCGGTACTCCTCATGAAGCCGGTCCTCCTCACCGTCTCCACGGTGACGCCGCCGACTGCGCGTGTAGGACCTCCGGGCACGTGTACAGGCCGCACGGAGGTCCGCCAGCTCCTGGGACCACCAGTAGACTTCCTTCCTTGGAGGCCGACGACCTCGAACGCGGGGCATGGCCGCATCGCATACATGCGTAATCGCATCGCGAAAGCGGCCAGCCCCCACGTCGACCTCCTCGGTCGGAGCCTGAGGAGACAGCCACGAGTGAATTATGGCTGCCTCCTCTAGTAGGTCCCGGTTCAGCCTGGCAACAGCCCACCGCGGAAAGCGGGATAAACGCCGCGCCACGTGACCCCTACTGGAGTCCTGGGTCCGGGAGAGCTCAAATCGGATATACAGGTGATCCGAGAGCGTCTCAACCTCTTCCAGGACACACCAGTTCCTTACTCGTGCGGCGAGGACAGGGGTAGCGAACGAGAGGTCCACTATCGACCCCCCCTGCTGTCGCACGCACGTGTTGGTGGAGCCTCTGTTTAGAAGACAGAGGCCCACCGAGGCCGCCCACTCCTCTACGGCCTCGCCCCTGGCGTCCGTCCTGGGGGAACCCCACGCAATGGACTTTGCGTTGAAGTCCCCCAGCACAAGGACGTGCCCAGACGCTAGTCGCCGTATCGAGGTCTCCAAGCTGGTTAGGAAAACCTCGAAGTCGTTCAAACTCCGGTTGGGGGAGAAATAGACACCATATATGGTGATCCCCCCCCACTCGACGGCAACATATCCAGTGCCCTTGTCTCTTAGCGACAAGGGCGGGGAATGAGCCGTCGTGGAACCGACGACTGCCACGGAGCCGTCCCAGTCACCCATCCAGTTTGGACGGGGAGGGACAGAATAGGGCTCCGCGACTACGGCAACACCTATCGACCACTGTGCCATGGTTTGCAGGAAGAGATCCTGCGCCGCGGCACAGTGGTTCAGGTTCGTCTGGACCAGGAGGTTGGAGACTTGATCCATTACTGGATCGTCTCTACAACCTCCTCCATGGGCGACGACGTCGACGCACGAACTACATCGGAGGCAGCCTGGGTCGACTGGCTAACCCCCGACGTCTGCCGAGAACTGCGGGGAGGCTTGCAGCCTCTCTGCCCCATCTGGTGATTGGCGGGCTTATTGCCCGCCGCACACACTGGGCAGTGAGGGGCGGCAGAGCATTCTGCCGCCTTATGCCCCGGTTGACCGCAGCGGAACAAACCCTATACCAACCCGTCTGGCCAGCGTGGTCTAGTAGGCCAAAACCTCCTTTCTAAGGAGAGGCCTATGTCCAGCAGTGGACTAATAAAGACTGTTGAAGAATATATTGTTTTTTTTTTAATGTAAATAATACGTTAGGTATAATGTGAGATAGCAAATTAACCATTTTTTTAAATAATACTATCCAACATGAACATCATTTGGGATAGGAGGCACAGACACATCTATACGCCGTAGATGGCCCGAGATACGTCGGGCTACCAGAGATTTCCTTGCTAGGGTAGGTACATCTGGTTCCCCGGCTACTGGTATCCGAGACGACGTGCGGTTTTTAGTCGGTTCTGGTCCGACATAACCATCCGACCGGTGGGTGGTATCCGAGAGGGTTTTCGAAAAGTAAAAAAAAAGGTTAAAAGAAGGTCACTATACTCACATTATCAAACGCGGTAATCTGCTTACAAAGCTATGTGTAATGTCTACAAGGATTATGCACATGTATGTTCAGCAAATTTACTTTTTCTCTTATAACGTTTCATTCTCTTCGTTCAACAACTTTAAGAAATGCGCGTGCCCTCAGCGCGTCTCGTTACCACCCCGGCCTGCTTCTGCTAGGGTGACAGATGGCCTCACCTACCACCCCAGGCCTGCGCTTATGGAGGACAGAGATCGTTCTGTTATCTCTGGCGCCTGAGTCGTCTACGGTACCTGGCGCGTGCCCGGGCCTGGCGGGCCGGGAGAGTTCTAAACCTCTCCCCGTCCCGCTCCGCCATCTCCGTCCCATAGCGGCAATCATGTTGCCGAGCGAGAGAATTCTCACTCCGACGGCCGCCACGAGGCCGCGCCTCTGCTCAACCCACGCCGGGCATTCTGCCAGCGTGTGGAGCGCCGTGTCCACGGTCCGGCCATCGCAGTGGTGGCACTCAGGCGTTACCTCCTTGCTTATCAGACACAGGTGATCTCCGAAGCATCCTTTCCCGGTGATCACCTGCGTCATCCGGTATGAGAGGGATCCGTGATGCCTCTCGAGGCAATCCTCCATAACGGGTCTTACCGCCGTGAACCTTCTTTTAACCTGTTCTCATTTAATAGATACTAAATTTTCTGGTAGTCAGTGTGGTGACGCATTAAGAATACTGATAGTCACCACCCCTGTTCATCCCGTGGGTATCGTAAGGCCCGACCACTGCAAAGGAGAGGAAAACTTGACATAAACCATATACCACTCGTCTGGCCAGCGTGGTATAGTTGGCAAAACCTTCTTTCTAAGGAGAGGCCTATGTCCAGCAGTGGATTATTAACTGCTGTTGATGATAATAATATTCACTGGAGATGTCTATGAGTATCCGGCAATAGCTAAATTTTAATCCTGAGGTGGGAAACATCAAAAGCATAACATTTGTGTTTCTTGAGAAATTATGATCTGATCGGCGGTAGTTACTTAATACGAGTATTACCGGTGACCGGTTTACTGCCCCCGCCATGACGGGTCTGTTGATTGTAACCCTAACTGCTAAACCGGTCGTGGGTTTTATTCCCACCGAGGACAAATAATTGTGTGATGAGCGCGATGGTTTGTTCTTTGCCTTGGTGTAATTTATCTATAATACCTATGTATGTATTTAGAAAAAATATATAAGTATGTTTATCAGCAGTCTGGTTACCGTAACACAAACTCGTTTGCAATCAGACGGCCGTGTGTGGGTTGTGTGAAGTTATTATTATTATTCTTTAAAGTATAAAAAAAACTAATTCAAGCCTGAGTCTCGAGTTTTGTTAACAATGTAATAGTATATAATTTAATTGAACATAAGTAGCCTAAGTTACTCCTTATGTCATCAGCTATCTGCCAGTGAAAGTCCCGTCGAAATCGGTCCATCCGTTCCAGAGATTACCCGGAACAAACAGACAGACAGACAGACAAAAAAAAGTAAAAAAATGTTATTTTGGCATATATACCGTGTAAACATACATATGCATTTAGTAAGAAGCGGTTATTTTAATATTACAAACAGACACTCCAATTTTATTTATTTGTATAGATATAGATTATTCATTATAAAGAGTTTTTTACTCATGAACTTTATATTACTTTTCAGGATAACAATAAAACGAGGCAGCGCGCTCACGGCTCTGGGTTTCGTTTACTTTATGAGCCTCTTTGAGTTGCTGAACGCGCTGACACTGTTCACGGGCGTGGGCGCACGGTTCAGACACAAGTACCGGCTGAGTTGCGGGGATGTACTGGATATTACTAACAAGTAAATGATTGTACACAAATCTATGGGTCAATTAATGATTGACTAACTAAACGTCTATAGGCCGATTACTCAAATAAGTATAGGCCGATTATTCAATTATCTATAAATCGATTACTCAAAAGTCTCATTAGTCAAATATAGACCAATTAGTCAAATACCTACAGGCCGATTAATCTAACGGCTGTGAGCCGATTACTCAAACGTCTCTATATTCTCTATAGTATAGTCAAAAGTCTATAGGCCGATTATTTAATATCTAGAGGCCGAATAGTCAAACGTCCCTAATGTGTGGTCCTTATAATAATAATAATAATATTCTACCACATACACACAACGCCATCTAGTCCCAAACTAAGCAGAGCTTGTACTATGGGTACTAGACAACTGATATATGATATATGGTTTGACTAATCGACCCACAGCCAAACGGCCTACGGATACGGATCTACGGTCTTACATATAAGACCTTATATAAAAATTGTCCACGTTAAATATATAAAAAGAACAAATCTTTCATATATTTCAGATTCGTGAGCGCAATTCAAGCAGCGCTATCCTGCATCACTGGAGCCGTAGTCTGCCTATGGTCATGTACCAGGGACTTTATCCGCACTAAGCACTGTATGTCAGAAGCCTACGCTTGGTTTGGGGCTGCGTACTTCTTTTACGATATATGGAGCATGTATATGGTAAGAACTCAATTTAATATGTGTAATGGCCTGGTGGTGGAGTGGCTAGAGATCCTTACTGCTGGGCCAACGGTCGTGGGTTCGATTTCCTTCCATTTTAAATAATTGGGCCTATGTCCAGCAGTGGACTTGTAAAGGCTGTTGATGATGATGACGTGTAACCTCTTTCCTCTCGTTTCACTGCAACGATTAAGTGGGGCAAGAACGATTAAGTGGGGCAGCGCGCTATTTGATTGGACCGATGAGCGCGCTCAAGATTCTAAGTTTTTTTTTATTCCAGCCTACTACATATTTGTTTTCAATTCATAGATTACCAGCTTTTGAACGTGGCTTCGCCCGCGTGCATTTTAGCTGCCGCGGTGAAAAGCAGTCTATGTTACTCGCTGATAAAGTACCTTTCTAAGAAAAGAAAAGAAAATATTTTTTTAAATCGGTTTTTTAAGTAAGGACTATCTTTTGCCCGTGGGTCCGCCCGCGTTTATGTCGGTTATCGCGGTAAAGAGTAACCCATGTCCTTCCTCAGAAATCAAACCATCTCTGCCAAATTTCATCAAAATCAGTTCAGCGTTTATTGATTCCCCATTCAAACTTCCACCCCTTTCACCCCATAAAAGACGATTTCAAGAATAAAAACTATCCTAAATCCTTTCCCGGAACTCAAACTCTCTCTACACCTAATTTAATCGGTTCAGCAGTTAATGAAGAGTTAACTGACACACAGACAGATAAACTCGCATTTAAAATATTAGTATGAATTAAATTTCTCTTTCCGTGTGGTGACGGATTAAGAAAACAGATTGTCACCACCCCTATTCATCCCGTGGGTGTCGTAAGAGGCGACTAAGGGAGCAAACTACGCAGGACAACAGCACTGCACAGCGAAGGAAAACTTGAAACAAACCCTATACCAACCCGTCTGGCCAGCGTGGTATATCAGGCCAAAACCTCCTTCCTAAGTAGAGGCCTATGTCCAGCAGTGGACTAGTAAAGGCTGTTGATGTGATTGATAAATTTCTCCTTTCAACATTCAAGGTGCACGTCCAAATGACGGCAAACACAGACTCCAAGCGCAAGCAATCCAAGAACGGCTCCTCACTCCTCTCATCAGGAGACGGAGCTGTCGTCAAGAAGAACAGCATATCATTCTTCTCCTACTGCAAGCACGAGCCTGTGATACTGATGCACCATTTGTTTATTGGAGGCTTTGGTTTTCTGGTCATTGTGGTAAGTTATTGTAACGTTTACGCATTTGTTGGCATTGTTGGTCTCGTGGTTAGTGACCCTGACGGCTAAGCTGGAGGTCGTGGGTTCGATTCCCAACTAGGACAAATATTGTGTGATGAGCTCAATTATTTGTGTCTTGGTGTAATTTATCTGAAATATATATTTAGAAATATTTAAGTATGTTTATCTGTAATCTGGATACCATAGTATAGGCTCTGCCGCCGTGGTGAATAGGGGGGGGGGGAGGGGGGAATTAAATGGATAATAGAGAATAATTCATGTTGTATTTAATGGTTCAGGTGAAATAATTTATTTTAAACATATGAATCAACCCTGTTGTACAAGGGCAGGAAGATGTTGATGGTGATTATTATATGAATGTCTCCCATTGCCAGTACCTCCGCGGAGACCTGGGCGACTGCACCTTCGGTTTCGTATACCTCATGGAGCTGTCCACGCCGTTCGTGTCCCTCCGCGGGATACTGTCGAGGATGAAACTGAAGGCCTCCAGAGCGTACCTGGTCAACGGTGTGATGATGCTGCTTACGTTCTTTGTGTGTCGAGTGATCAGCTTGCCTTATGTTTGCCTCCTGTATAGTAGAGTGCTCGGGTTACCCTATTTAGAGGTGAGTGTAATTCCTGTTCTATGCGTGGTTATAAATAAGGGAGGCTTTACGTGGGTCAGTCAAGAAAAATGGGTAGGCTCGACCTAAGTGTTACACGGCCCTCAGATCAAATAAAAAAAGTTAAAATGGTACTCTGTGAAAAAATAACTGAGACCAATTAAAACTACGCCTTAGCGTGTACATACGCAATTACACGCACACACTTACAACGAAACTACGCCTTGTCAATTAAAACTTCATCGAAAATATTTACAAGTAAACCGAATTGTGTTGTGAAGGTTGTAAAAATCAAACGACAAGAGATAGATAGTAGGATGGAATCGCATTTCAAACATAAGTAAGCGTAGAAACCAACATTTTCAATAAAATAAAATTATCATGGCACAAAAAACGCCCGTCTGATCCCAAAAATAAATTTATTTGTTAGAACATAATTATTACATTAGGTGTGATATTTTATTCTTCGTTTCTTACATTCTACCATTTCTGGTGTAGAAATATTTTCAGTCAAGTCAAGTCAAGTCAATTGACATACGAAAAGAAATGAGTTAAATGAAATCAAATACAATAAATTTATTAACATTTGGAGAAGAATTAGAATACAAACAATTAATTACATACACAAATCGATACAAAATCGCTCCTAGAAGCCTGTGAACGCCCCAGGAGGCTTCTGCGCTTCTGGAAGGAGCTTGGTTGGCTCACCTAGCTAACCAGTCCTCGACGCATAAAGGACCACTCTTGAGTCTAAATGCGGAAACCGAAGCCCACAACCAATACCAATACATACACAAATAATAGTAGAATTAATCAACATCCATAAAATACATTTGAGCAATAAAAGTAATTAAATAGAACAAAGTGAAAAAACAAATCTAATGTCATACAGAAAGTCATTTAAGGAATAGTAACACTTTTGTAAAACGAGTTCAAAGACTCTGCGTTTAAATCTTCAAACTATCCAGAACCTGTACTATAGTAACCAGACAGAAGAACTTCTAAATTAAGTAATATAATTCATTATCGATAGATAAAGTTGGGTTTTGTTGGCTATTTCTTGTGGCGTTGTGGTAATGTTATGTAAATATATACGAACGACATAAATTCATTTGTTGGCACAGTCAATAACCCTTCTAGACTAAATGTACTGTCGCTCTAAATTGTTTGTGTAGTACAGCAAACGATGTACTCGGTCAGGTTTATGTGTTATTCCGGTAAGTATGTTATTATAGCGCCATAGGATTAATTGGTTCTAGTATAGTGTCAAGAGCCTGATGGAATTTTGAGCACAGCGCCATCTTGTATCAAGCAAGGTACAACGAACACTACGCGTTGAAATATTAGTTCCTAATTCCGATACTTGAGTGTCGAGTTTAGCTAAAGGAATTCTAGAAATTCCTTGTTGTCTGGAACGGTCCATCGAATCCTAGGGATTATTCTAGTTAGAATAGAATAAGCTTTATTGTACACCAGTTCAGTACATTATACATACAATAGTATTTCAAGTAAATGACCATTACAAATGGCGGCATTATCGCTAAAAAGCAATATATTAAATTTGGATGGATAAATAGACTGTAAATAGGTAATTTCACGGCCAGTTTTGGTGTGATAAAAAGTGTAAGGAATAAAAAAATATTTATACAGCAATACAACATTTGATAGTGATAAAAGGTAAATAAACAACGTGGTATGGATTATACGTCAGTCAGTCCTAACAATACCTACCTATGTAAATACACGTTGATACATAAATAATCTGTGAAACATTATGTATTATAAATACATACTACTGCTGCACGGATGGCGTAGTGGTTTAAGCAGACGAGACGCCGCTTACTACTATGCTGAGTGTCGTGGGTCCGATCCCCGCATGGGACAACACTTTGTGTGGTCCACAAATTGTTATTCTGAGTCTGGGTGTTCTTTCTTTTTTTTTAAAGACAACACCCGCATGAGGAATATATCCTGTGTCGCGGGGACTTTACAAACATTCATGAAACACCCAGACTCAGAACAACATTTTGTGGATCACACAAAGTGTCGTCCCATGTGGAGATAGGACCCACAAGACTCAGGGTAGTAAGCGACGAGGTGATCGCTTATACCACTGCGTCATCCGTGCAGGCAATAAAAAACCGATTAAACTAAAAGCCAGTAAGACTGATGTCCAGTAATATTTTGGTGGTTTACAGGCCATCAATTCCCTGCCGACCGGTTGCAAGATCTCGATCTGCATCCTCCTTCTACCTCAGCTCTACTGGTTCTACCTGATGTCTTCGGGAGCCATTAAGATGCTTGTCGGGGGGCAGAGCTCGGCCAAGTCACTGGCCAAAACTTCGGCAGCCGTGAAGACTGAGGCAGTAGAGGGGATAGAAGGATCAGAGGGAGCTTTGGGAGACGTGCGCAAGCGCAGCTGATGTCGCGCGCACGTCTCACGCGCACGACGTGCTCGACGCGCACGGCGTGCACGCACATAGCGACACACATAATGGAGGTGATATCTATTTGTATAGCTAAAGTATTTGTCATCTATTTGTGACTTCGGCGGTGCTGACCCAGCTAGTCGATGTAACCGGTAGACTAGTCGTTGAGGTTGCTCATTGTTTCTTTTTTAAGTCTAACTTTTCAACCTTCCTAGTTCCAATCTGTATTCTCGAATAGTTTCCATTGTAAATAAACGAAACAATGAAATTAGGCGAACAATCGACTAAAAAAACATATTCGAATATCATGTTAAGTAACTTGTGTGTAGCGTGTTTTACGATTAAACATCGACTAATTATCGAATTGAAGGAATAAACGTTTTAAAAATTAACAAGTCACGGATGGCTCAGTCGACAAAATATCTAAACCAGAAAGAACAGTCGCAGATTGTCATCCCTTGTTAAGAATCTTCTAGTTTAATTGCCCATATAAGTTATACATGTATATTCTCTTATAATATTTTTATTCCTAGTTGATTTTTATAAGGAAGTGTTTTTTTTAATTACTTAAATTACCAACTTATGAGGAAACAGTTTTTGTTCACGCAAATTTAATACGTTCGTATAAGTTTTTGTTTACTTTTACTTATTTATTTCTCACCATCTTAGTGGACAGTGTTGCCAGATCAAACTGTTAAATTTCCAATATTATTAAAGTATACCATATTAAAAAAAATGTAGAACTAAGAGATTTGTTATTGTCATTACAGCACATTTCTAACATATCACATTGATATGAAAATTCGACCTCCAGCCTAATTAACAAGATTATTAATTGTTCAAGTATTTTTGACCAAATATTCGTCAAAAAGTTTTTACGAATATAAAAAGTCAAAACACAATAATGTACGTTTCAGAAACTTGAAGTTTTGAACCGATTCAGCTAAAATTTTGACACAATCTACAAACCGATTCAAAGATTTTGTTTACCTGTTTTTCGCGTCAGTTTTATCCCTCATTTTTCATGATTGCAACTACACTGTGCACACCAAAGCGTGGCATGTTAAAGTTGGTTATTTAAATCGCTTTAATATGCGTTTTCTGATACAAAAGTATATTAGTGTACAAAACAATAATAATCTTAAAATTAATTGGCTGTTTGTCGATGTTTTCTTATTGCAAAATGATAATATTCGTGTTTCGTATTGTTTGGACACTGTTTTGACTTTCATTGCACAATATATAATATATGTAACATTTTAAGCTATGTATTTAGAATAATAGTTTTTACTAACTATGGTGTTGTGTCTATCTGTGGAATATTCGGAGTCAAGTAAATTTGATGTTTTATATTCTACTACTACTAAAGGCAATTTTTAGATAAATTTAAATGGAGTGATGTTATCAAAGGAACTTTGAGGAGGTTTGAAGTTACTTACCGTCGACTGCTAGTTTGCCCCCATGCCATAGAAATAAATATGTGAAAACAAAACCTCAAGACTTAAGGTGTAAATAAAATTATTTTCGTCAAAAATTTTGTAAAAATCCCGTCACACTTATTTTTCCAATATTATGTAGTAAAATCGCTAAGTTGGCAACACTATATACCATTCTTGTTACCGTTCCATCTAATATTTTCTATTGTATTCAATGACTTTTATGTTTTGTAGAACTATAGTGTAGGTTTTCAATTTGCGCGTGTTGTGATTGAATTATACATGAATGATTAATATGCAACTGTCAATCACGACACCAAATAATTAGTAAAAATAAAAAGATTGTAAAAACATTAAATTAAAAAAAAACGTGAGTTGAATGTCAAGTCAAGTTAACTTTGTCTTTGGTTTGACGTTTGTTGTTGCACGTATACGTACGTACAATGAATACACGTTCTGTAAGTTGAAGTTACAACCTGTGACGTCATACTTTAATATCGTCAGAGAAACTGTTTGGTCTTGAATGTCAACTAACTTATTATATGGGCCAGATCGGCTGATACAGGTTTCTGCCAGCACCATTTTCGAAAAAAATATATATTTTCTTATTATAGTCAATAGAGTATTAGACTAGTTTTTGAAAAATATGTCATATTGTTCCATATAGCGTTTTAAAATTACAATTTGAGAAGGGCTAACCTCCCGCCTTCTATATTCTGCCTTTTAAGTGTCCATGGGTGAGATGGCCAATTACCATACGGTGACCCCTCTGCTTGTTTGCCCCTATACCATCAAAAATATGTATATAAGGCCGGAATCAACATCATTTATCAGACACACAACATTGACATATACTTGGAAATTATTGCTACTTTTGAATCATAATCATATGATGAAATATTTGTCATTAGTAACAGCGATTTGAACTGTGATTGTGATTTGGTCAAGACAAAGAAAAATGCCATCAAAATCAATCAAAATTCTTTTTTATTAAAAGTAATAATAATAAGTGACTTTGTATATTAGTCATGTGTGATTATATGATTTATCACAGGTGATTGTGGTCACTTCACCGTTAGCCAATTATGAGACTTTTCAATCACATGGTCTAATAATAATTTATGCATGTTTTTCCATCCAAAAAATATACAAAATTTTAAAGGCGTTCTATAAAATAGTTGAAACAATACTGTAGGCAAACGAAACTTTTTATTTTATAATCAAATATATTTGGCCTTACAAAAAACATTTGGTATTGTAACAAACTGAATCTCTTGTGTTGTTACTCCCCATTTCCAATTACCATTCATCATCAGCCCTTAATAATCCAATGCTGGACATAGGCGTCTCTTTAAAACGCCGTTTTGGCCTACTATACCACGCTGGCCAGATGGATTGGTATAGAGTTTGTGTCAAGTTTTCCTTCTCTTTGCAGTGCCCTGCGTGGTTTTCTCCCTGAGTCGGCTCTTACGACACCCACGGGATGAATAGGGGACACGCCGTATTCTTAATTCGTCACCACACGGACTAAATTACCATTGTTACCATATTATTTAATGCTGCCATTTTGGGGAGATAAATGCACTAAAATGACGCGATCTGCTAAAAGCAGCTGTTTAATTAGTTAAATTGTTAATTTATTTATTTTTAATGCATGTGTGTGGATGTTATTGAAATCTTCCAATTGTTTGCCAAACTCATTCCAATTTTTCCAATAGTTCCAACTTTGTCTATTGAGCATTTAAAAGAAAATTTGATAGTTTTATCTTTGGTAACGCTTGTCTCATCGTCGGCTGGAAAGTATTGCTTAAATAATTATTTTATTAAAAGTAATATGTTCACTCAATATTATATATATATATTCATAACTTTTATATATTTGATCTCTTTTGCATGTCGAATAGGCTCCCAACTTAGACACTTATACTGTTACGATCCGAGAATTCGATAGTCGAAGTAGGTTGGATGTTTATTACCAAAATTAGCACTGTATTTATAAACACACGGTTTTACAAACAATAAATTAACTAAATACTTTGTTAGTCGTACTAGAAAATCGTTTCGATGTTAATTCTTTGTCTCGTAAAACAATACTGTGTCGTACGGCCAACACGCTTCGCTTATATAAGGCCACCGAAATTACTAGAGTAATCCCGAGGATCCGATAGAACGTTCCAGACCCACGTATATTAAGGAATCTACAAAGTTCTATTATCTAGAACACTAGATAGCGCAGCAAGTATCGGAATTATGAATCATACAACGCGTAGTGGTTGTTGTGCATCACTTGATAGACTAGACTAGATGGGGCGGTTCTCTAAATTTCATACGAATCTCGATTGTTCACGAACTAACTAAACAATACATTCATTTTTAATAATACAATTCCATCCACTCAGTTCTTCATTCATCTTAAAAACGTTGACTTTCGTCTAAAAAGCGTTTACTATCATCACCATCATCAACAGCCTTTAGTAGTCCACTGCTGGACATAGGCCTCTCCTTAGAAAGGAGGTTTTGGCATACTATACTACACTGGCCAGACGAGTTGGTATAGGGTTTGTTCCAAGTTTTCCTTCTCTTTGCAGTGCTGTAGTCCTGCGCACATACCAACCATACCCTCATAGAAATTCTCATAAACCGAAGTATGCCTTACCATGACTATACATAGGTTTTAAATACTTAATAGCTAAACGCTCTAGTCGACGGTGGGACAAATCCTAAAATATCGAGCGATTTTATATAAAAATATTAATAACTTCTGACTGTAACTGTAATCTATTAAATACAGCTTTTTAACATATTATACCGGGCATTTATTACTTGTATATGTGGTATATCACTATCTAGCTGAAAAATAGTTAAATCTAATGAGCTTTTGTTTGAAGCTATTGCATAGCTTCTATCGCGGGCCTTGAGCGTGGAGACCGAATCCAGATATTCCGTAACGAAAATAACCTAACACCTCCCACTCCGACCGGCACAGCGGTGATACTTTTTACTTTTGCCATCTATCGATGAATAGCAGAACTTTTAATGACTTTTTTGAAATATCACGCTTGTCTCTTTAGTTCAGCAACTCGCCTCTAGGTGGCATTGGTTGTGACGCGGTATTTTCCAGATATTTAGAAGATATCAAGTCTCAAACTTATGTTTCTTATTTCAGTTACCATAAACCTATAGTTTCAATGATAAATATTCCTGAATAACCTACATGTATTGTAAGATAATAAAAATATTTTGAACAATATTAACTTCTCATTTATTTAATAAAAGAAAAAAAAATGTTTTCTTATCGGTCATCACGTTCAAAAAGTGTAACTTGAATTAATATCAAAGAAAAAAAAACAAAGGAAAAAAATTACTGCATAAATAAAATAAATAAATAATTATAATTGCATAAGTTGATAAAAAATGCTATGCAATAGCTTTACCGCGGCAGTCCCCGAGTGCCACACGTCTTTTTTTGTTTGTTAAACTATCATTCAGACATGAATGTTTATTTTTGTACTGGTTAGAGTATTTATAGAGGAATAATAAAGGGTATATCATCACGCTACGACCCTTGAGAGCGTAGTAGTGACTGCAGGGAACGGCTAGGTAGTAAAATAAATGTATAATACATAGTTATTAGATTAAGGAACAATTTCTGTCTGATATATGTACATGTATCTTGAAAATTACATAGCAATGTTAGAAAACTAAATATTATATAAAGATTAAAAAAGGTGGGGGGGTATGTACCTTGTATGGAATTGGAAATATTTTAATTATCAGGTAATTTTTATTTTATTTCTCAGAAGAGTAAAATTAAATGTAGTCCATCGTTTTTCAAGGCCTTCGTGCCCCACCCTGTTCTCCAGCCAGTGGCCGGAGACCCCCTTCATGTGTTGCATTCTTTCATTGTCCATAAAGGTGTAACGACCCCTCTCTGTGACATCGCTCAGGTTGAGCGCGAGAGGGGTCCTTACACCCGTCAGCGTAGTCATTACGCCCTCTGCCTGGGCGTTTGCCTCCCATGACAGCTGTGCCCGGCTCGCTATGCCCAACGCATATTCTCCGATTGATGACACGGAGTCCGATTCTTCCCCTGCACCATACACGATGGTGTCCCAAAACGCTCGGTCGTTACCCATTAGTTCGGGGCTGACGGCCTGGTCACTGATCCCCACCCCCCTTTTCCACTCTTCGTAGAGACGCCTTTTTAACATCACGCGCTCTACGTCGTCTAATGCCATGGCAGTGCCCTCCTCGTTAGAAGCGACACCGCGTTCGCTGTGGACATATGTCGCTATGCCCAGGCCTGTAATTAACTCAGCCTCATTGGTCCAGGCGCCTACTCGTAATGCTGGTGCTGTGTTAGCCAGCGCCCTAGTCACAAAAACGTTGTCCGTAAACGTTGTCGCGTGATCATGGAAGTAGAAATTACTTTCCTCAGGTAGTGCTGTACATTCTGGCAATCCATGCGTCGCGTAAGCCACGTTACTATACGCCGGAGGCAACCACTGCGTTTCAGCTCCTCCAGCCCCGTCGCGCAGTACCTCGGGCTGCGGGACAAACCGCATAGTCAGCCACGCTACGAGCTCATCGATGAGAGCCCAGTCCACGTTTGGAGCCGTCATACGAGTAGACAGCCATTGCTCCATGGTCACCTTTAACGGCGTGGGGGATCGCAGTATCCTATCCAGGCACGCCGTCAACATTTCCCCTATAGGTTGAGAGAGCGTTGGTTCTGGCTCTCTGTTCCTGTCTAGGCCTGCGACGTGCACCTCGACACCCGCTATTTGCATCACAGCCTCCCCAGATGCGGTAACCAGCAGGTACTTCCTACGACGGTTATCGATGGTAACGCAACATTCGTTGCGTCTCATGGCGGTCAGACGCTCCCTCGGGCCCCGTGACTACAAAGAGTTCATCCACCTCAACCAACGGATAGGGTGCCGCCAATACAAGCTGTAACGCCCACATGAGCTGCGGGTTGCCTGACCCGTAGTCCAGTACCACAACAGCAACACTCGGGTCGTCTATGCACCATGACTGCCCGTTCGCTAGCCCTACTGCCCTAGTTTGCCGGTGCATCACCTCATCTAAATGGCGAGTAGATATCATCGCCACTTGGAACTTGGAACACCGGAACACCACACACCGGAACTTGATAACGAGTGGGAACTCGTTATCAAGTTCCGGTACGACACGTGCCATACGCGGTACCTTCAAGGGTAGGCCCCACTCTGTGCCCGTGGGGAAGGCGCAGCTCATGTGGCGTAGATGGTCATACAGACGCATCTTCAAGAGGTGTCCGGTGATATCCATGGTACACACTTGTGAACCATCCACCAACGTTGCCTGGAGCAGGGGGCTATCGGCCATGTACCGCCACACGTCCATTCCCGTCGTCGAATTTATGCGGCCATCGCGCGATGTGGGATCATCCACTGTGCGTTTCAGGTCGGTTGAAAGCGCCGTAAGCACTAATCCCCCCTTGCTGTAGACGGGGTCCTCTTTCACCCCTATCCACGTGAGGTCTCGCGTCTCAGCCCCAACCTGCATTAGGTCTTGCTCATCGGCGACGGGGTCATATCCCATGAGGCAGTTAGCGTGAGTTGATCGCGCTGCCAGAGTAGTCAGGAAACCGTTAAGTTCCCTGCGTCTGTTGGCCCGGGTCGCTGCCCGTGAAACGCCCCTCCACGCACGCGACATACGCGTGACCCAGATACTACTAGCGGAAGGCGGAGGCGGGCGTGCAGTACCGGTGGTTTCCAGGATGCTCCTTACTGGCGAACCGTCACTAAAGTCGTCACACCCTGAGGCGCGGCGAGGCGATGCGTCTGCGGTCACGGGTTGCGCCAAACTCCCGTAAAACCAGAAGATCTGATGTCTCGTGGGCGGGGCACTAACCAACCCCACCCCGTTAGCTACGTTGCTGGTATAGACCAACATCGGTACCTCCTCTTGTGCGACACGGAGGCGTCGCTCCGTCTCCACCTGTATGGCATGCCGATGACGCACGCCACGCGTAGCCCTCGTCAAAGCTGCAGCCATCACATCTGCTCTCGAGGTATCATGTGTGACAGAGAAGTTAATGTTGCCGTTGAGGGCATGCATTTCTTGGTTGTGGGCTATGGCCATAGCCTCGAGTGCTCCACCTTCGAGGGATAGGATCAATGCCCTCAATGCCTCCATGCTCTCGTACGGTTTCTGTTCCCCCTTCACCCGAACGTCATCACTTTCGCCAGCCAGGCGCTGTACGACACAGATCGGGCATACACGCTCCGTCAGGAGGAGGGAAGCCAAAGGCCTGTTTAACAGTAGGGCCTCCCCTGCCAGACGTGAAATGTCCGTTTCCATATCGCTCAGCCCCTGGCTTAAGCTTAGTTTGGCGAGGGCGGTATACTATGGGGATCTTGTGTCAACTAGGGTGAATTTCCGTGCGTTTAGGCGATTCTGCCATACATATTATAGAAATCAAATATAGCTCACGTAGGACCCGTAATATTTCGTGGCCGTGGTGCTTCCCTGTTTAAAAGGGTGTATGCCCATTTTACTTCATTTTGTCTCCCGCTTTGCTAAGGAGGGAAGTGGATTTACTGTATTTCCAACTCCTCCAATTTTCTTCTGATTAATTTCGTTGCGGGTTCCAAGACAGTTTAATTTCTTCCTGGGACTTCCCGAGTGTCATAACTCGGTGTGTTCGTGGGTCACTGCTGTGGATCCTGGTGTACAGGAGTTACAGTGGTGGGCTTGTGGGCGGGATTAGTCCCATTAAAAAAAAAAGTCCATCGTTTTGCAAATGTTATATGTTTGCCAATCAAAAACGTACTCTATCTGTAGTACCTAAGTTTGCATTTACTCCAATCTTGTCTATACCTGTAACAGCTTCCAATGGTTACTTCCTTCACTTCACATGTTAAAAAAAATTACAAACAGTCATAAGTGTTTTCTAGTACACACGGCAACGAAATATCTGGTCAGTAGTGCGAAGTGTGATTTCAGTGAACTAAAGAAATTGAAACTAATAACGCAGAATGCAACGCACTTGTGACTTTTGAGTGGTCGGTGTCCATGGGGGGCGGTAGTTGCTTACCATCAGGTGACCCGTCTGCTCGTTTGCTCCCTTATACCATAAAAAAAGAATAGTTTTGAAACAACAATAATTTACAAGTTTATGAGTGTAAACGTATAATAATATACTTAAATGAATACCACACAGATGTAAACCTGACCAAAAAGTCAACTCTTGTAATAAATCAAATCAATCAAATCAAATCAATGTAATGAACACCTGTATGTAACCCATGTATCACAAATAAATGATTTGATTTGATTTGATTTATACAAATTCCCGATTTACTCTCGCTCTCCCAAATGCCATAAAATAGTAAAGTATTACTAGAATACCCATTCAACTTTCGGTCACAACACGATATAATCACATTACTATAGATAGTTCAACTCAGTTGTACAATACAACAATACAACTTTCATTCGTGTGGCAGTCGTCGTCCGACTGCCGCGTCACTGCCACACGAATGAAAGTTGTATATTTACAAGCCCACGCACACATAGGGCCGCGCGCACAACTGAGTTGAACTATCTATATCAACCTTGGATGTTTAATACTTTACTACGAGAATACTTTTTAACTTTTTACATTTGTGAGATCGAGTGTAGATCGAATGAAATGTCCCTCAGGTATTTCGTTTGCCATGTGATGTTTCACATATTAAAAATTCTGCACTTAGTGATGTTATGTGTGAATGGTAACGTCTGCATGTTATGTTCCTATAGAGGCCTATAAAATAGGTTAATTGGCCTATTTTGATAAAAAATAAATGTTTTAAGTGTTATAAGTGTGTTTAAAGAATGCTACCTGTTAGGGGAGAGTAACCAATATTGAACTGGCGCTTAAATTGGATTTAGTTGTATTTCTACCAAAATACAACTATTTGGTATAGTATATTGGCACAAAAAGGAGCGCTTCAAAATGGCGGTGCTGCTAGTTTTTTTTGCGTTGCTATTGTAAAAAAAAATGGTGCCATTTCTGTAGAAATACAGAAGTGGTTTAGTGATGGTTACTCTCCCTTACATATTTTGTTTCTATGTATCTATAAAAGACGGCGATAAACCCTATAAATTTACAAAAAAAAATATCATCATACAATTCTAATGCGTTGTGAGATGTACAGAAAAAGACTTGACTGGCTTGTAGGTCTAGTGGTTAGTGACCCTGACTGCTATTCCGGAGGTCGTGGGTTCGATTCCCACCCAGGACAATATTGTATGATGAGCACGATATTTTTTTGTTTTTGGGTGTAATTTGTCTTTAATATGTATGAATTTAGAAATATATAAGTATGTTGAACAGCAACCTGGTTACCATGCCACAGGCTCTGCTTAGTTTGGTATCAGACTGCAGTGTGTCAATGGTGTGAAATTAATAATAATAATAATAATGTAAAATTTTGGCCATCTGACACACGACGCCATCTAGTTTCAAACTAAGCAGAGCTTGTTCTATGGAAGCTAGATTGACTAAGTAATTTTTAATATACCTTTCATCCAGATAAAAAAAATGCTATTTTTTTGGGATATTTACATTGATTTATCCATGTGATAATATTCTAAATTAAATTATTCGGATGAAACAGGTTGCCATTTTGATTTTATGACTATTGCAGCTAAATTAATATCCATTTAACAAACAAGATTGAATGTTCTTTAAAGTAATTCTAATTCGGTAGATTAATAAATGTATAATATGTATACAAATAATGTTACCAGTGCTATAAATGTAATTGTAGTTTATATTTTTTTAGGCTGGCAATAGTTGCGTGATGACTTGTATGAGCATGTAGTTTGTTAAACAGTGTGTTTTATAATTAATTATAAAATGAAAAAAAAAAATTGCAACTACTATGAGTGTTTAAAAACGAAATCACATTTTGTGTGAAGAAAAAAAATGGCACTAAATATTGTTAATTTTAAGTTGTGACACTGTTTGTGTATTGCCGTTGTTCATTATTGTATTAGAGGCAATGTTTTGTAAATAAATCTTATCATTGGGTCTTAGATCATTTGTATGTCTAGACTTAGGTACCGCATTACGAATTAACTAAAACTAACGGGGCATCATTACTATGCTTATGTGTTGTCATAGCGAAAATTCAGTTGTCACGCAAGCGAAAAGGAATTTAGTGGGCAACAGTTAGACACTAATTTTTGTACACTTTCATCAAGTGATGTAAGCATTGGGTATTTATACACGTAAAATATTTCTGTGCCATCAGTATCACACACTAAATCTCTATAATTGTCAACTTTACCACTTATAGTCCATAAACGATATTAAGCATTGGGTATTTATACACGTAAAATATTTCTGTGCCATCAGTATCACACACTAAATCTCTATAATTGTCAACTTTACCACTTATAGTCCATAAACGATATAGTGCGAAACGATAATTTCTTGAAACCAGATTAAAATACAATTCTTAAAATAGAATACAAGGTACGGTACTGATTAAACATGAAGCAAATATCAGACGACCGGATGGCTTAGTGGTTTGTATAACGGACTGCTATTCCAAAGGTAGCTTGTTCGATTCCCGCTCAAGTCAAACATTTGTGTGCGTGAACAATTAATGTTTGATTGGGTCTGGCTGTTTCCATGTATAATATGTATGTATTTACAATCAAGTATATATGTATTTATATCAGTTGTCTAGTACCCATAGTACAAGCTCTGCTTAGTTTGGGACTAGATGCCGTTGTGTAAACGTGGTAAAATATTATTATTATATTATTGGAACGAAGTTCCTTATCGCGCGTTGTGAAAGGGGGCTAGACGGAAAAATTCTCACGAAAAGTTGTAACGACACTTTTTATGTCAGTCATTCACCATCTATCGAATAGATAGGAAATCATAACTTTTCATCTCAGTATTTATTTTGAATTGTCACTTGTCAGTCATTCAGCGCCATCTATCGAATAGATAGGAAATCATTTCTCATAACCTTTATTGTTATATTACCAGCGAGACATTTTTTCACAGATTTATCAGAAAACATTAACAACATTCTTTTAAAAATTTGTGCGTGTCTTGCACAAAATTATTTTATTATAATGTACCTAATTATTTAAGTGGATGCACCCTGATTTAGACATGCATATGGTGATGTGTGTGATACTACGGCCTCACAGAAAACTAGGGTTACTGAAAATCCAAATCCCCTTCCGTAATTCGGGGGAGGGGGGGACCTATCGTCGGGCGGCGGTAGTCACTTACCATCAGGTGACCCGTCTGCTTGTTTGCCTCTTCACCCATATAAACATTATTAAATAGTTATGTCGCTTGTGAAATGTTCTAGGCCTGTTCAAAGTTATCCGTATGTAAGCCTCGACTCAACGTGACGGTACCCAATAAATGTTATACATTGTTGTGATAACTCTTTTTTATTTATATTATATATATGTATTATGTATAAACTAGGTGTTTTATTTTTTATAATTAACCTGTAGATATAAAATACTTAACTGACTGGTTGAGTAATTAACGCAGAGCCTAAACCAGTGTGGCTACAAAGCACTCGCTAAGTAAGGATTTTTGAAAATTTAAACTCTTAAGGGGTAAAATAAGGGATCAGCATGGAAGTTTGTAATTTTCAAAGTCAGAAATATGAAATAAGAAACAATCAGGTGTGCGAGGTAGCTGTTTAAGAATATGTGTACATTTGCTAAGGGTGCCTTCTAGAAAAACGTCTACAGTGTTATGAAGGGTTCTTAATACGCTTTGGTTGTCTTTGAAATCTGATATGGACACTCCACCACGGCATTTTTCAAGAATTTTTTTTACCTCGCGTACAAATCTGTGGAACAAATTGTCGTCTGCGGTATTTTCGAACGATACGACCTCTAAAGCTAAAGGGCGTAATCCTACCACTTTGTTACTCTTAATTTTGGTTTTTAAATGATTAGGGTAGATTTGAGATGTGTTCAAACAAAATACGTGGATTTACGGAGTGAGTGAGGTTAGCGGAGCCTAAACACCCCTCCCTCCGTTCTTGTCCACGGGCGGCGCACGACCCGTCTGCACGTTTGACTACAGTACAGTGGCGGATTAGTCACGTAGCAAGAGTAGCAAATGCTACGGGCCCCGCGCATTAGGGCGCCCCCGCTCTGACCGTAAAAAAGTATCTACTTCGTACCTACTACTATCGTATTTCGATCGGAGTGTGAAAATATTTTTTTCAAATCAATAAAGCCAAAATTCTTATCACGAAAGAGGCATCTAAATGTCAAACTATAATTTGACGGGCCTGTTGGTTTAGTGGTTAGTGAGCCTGCTA